GGCCAAGTCACTAGCTGAGAAAGTTCTTCCAAAAAAAAGTCCAAAAAGAAGGTGAACACTGTCCAAGCTAAGCTACTCTCTTTTGCAGAAGCTGAGCACGAAAAAAATCTAAAGCTGGCTGAGCGGGAAAAGCGTTGGAGCGAAGCTAAGCAAAACAAGAGAATCAGTACTCACCTGATCAAAAGTGTCAGCATCAGCGAACGATCCAAAGACAGTGGAACTCTTCTCTCAATGCTCATCACAGGGGACAATCTCGATGCCATAACCGAGTACCCTTCCTACCTTGGCCATAATGGATACAGTGAATGGCTGGAGATTAGACAAACCATTCAGCGCTCCAAGTCCAGACATAAGTCGATTATTGAAGACATCATCAACAATCTTATCAAGAAGATGTCCAGGTATGTCGTAGTCTCTAACATGCCATCTTTGAAGAAAGGAGGAAGAAAGAAAAGACCCTCTAGTCCTAGTAATGGACCATCCCTAAGGAATGAACATGAAACAAAGCTCTCCTTAAATGAAGTCCTGAAGGATCGTGAGAGTCCAGACATCTCTATGCTGAATCTTGATCTGCCAGCAAAGGGTCCTTATACACCCAACTTTATGCACTTCAAACCTGAGTTAGGAGTAATATTCCTTGACTATGAAGGTGAAGTAAGATTTCATAGAATATCTGAGTTACGTCTATGCCCGATGGAACACCTGGTTTATCTTACGTTCTGGCTGGATGATGACTTGAAAGGAAAAGTTGTGGCCTGAAGGATACGAAGAGAATTTCTACGTCAAAAGAAGCTTGGAGAAGATGTACCTGGTTACATTAATCTAGACAACTTAGACTAGTTTATTTTCTTTGTAATCTACTTACTATGTCTACTTTCAGTGATTAATCTTATATTTTGTAAGTTTTAGACATGTATTGTACGTCTTGTAATATTTTCTTTGAAAATTATATAAGTGATTTTGTGCATCATTGAAAAAGATCCCTAAAAAAAGTAATATGGACATAAGTCTATGAGTTCCAGTGTTACTTTTCACATTCACTGACAATCTATAAGCCGGTGAATAAGCTTTCAGTTTTAGTTTCCAAGTAAAGACTACTCACTGAAAAAAATCCCAAAAATAGTTAAAAGGGACATGTAGTTTGTGTGTCACTTTTTCTTTCAATTATTTAATAAGACAACTTTTTTTATGTTGTCTTGTTATCATCAAATAGGGAAAGATTATTGATCCTCTCTCTTATTGATTTGATGATAATCCCTTTTACCTTATACGAAGTATTTATATTTCTGTTTTCAGTTCCAGCGATTATCACTGAGTCTGTTCAGTGATCGTTGAAGAAATTATAATTATAATTAGTCAGGTGAGGTCATGCTTACATGAGATTAATATGTGAGTGTGTATATTTTATGTATGGGAAATATGATTATGTGTGTATGCATGGAGATATATGTAGTTTTATGTGTGCATGCATATAAAAATTGTATGTGTGTGCATGTGTGTCCGTGCATATTTTATGCATGGGTGATGGAGAAAGTATAAGAAAAAGAAATTTTTATAATTCTTTTATGACTGCCTTCCTTTTAAGGAATGTATATAAAAGGGAAGCTTTTGGGAAAACAACGGTAGCTGCCATTTTTGGAAAGAAATCAAGTGAGAGTAAGCATATTGTGTGTATTGCTTGACAAAATTGGAAACTGAAGTTGGATCAATTTATAGTCGTTTCATGTTTGATGTTCTCTTCTTCTTCAAATTATGAGTTTGCATAAAGTGAGTCTTTACTAAAACAACCTTTGGATATAGTTTTGATTACTAGTTGTATAAGCTTTGAAATGCTGATGTTTTGTAAATGTCGTATATGTTCTTATTGATCTCCATTGACCGATAAGGTCTCTTCACCAGGCATAGAGTTGTTCGGATTAGTGTAACATGCTTAACCAGTGAAAGCTTGTGTCCGAACAAGTGTTCTCCGATAAGGGTATGTCCGGGCACTGTGTTGACCGGTGAGAGTTGTATCCGGACACTTGTTGTTCGATAAGGGTGTATCCGGTTGAGTGTTGTCAGGATAGTTGTTCATAACCCAAGAGTATTTTTATGTGTTGCCCGGATAGGGGTGCCCGACTAAGGTTGTCTGGATATGTGTTCTCCGGATAATCTTGTCCGGACAGAGTTGTTTGTACAGAAGTTGACCGGTGAATGAGTCATAGCAAAACTTTGATTTATGTAATGAGGGGATTTCATAATTTTTGTTTAATATGTTATATTGTGAAAAGAATATTTTATATCTTCTAATTGGAAAAGCTATTAAGTGTTTCTTCCAGACATGGTGACATAAGTCTGTTCTGGTTTGAAACTATTTTGGGAAATGTTTCTTCCAAACGTGGTGACGTAAGTATGTTCTGCTTCGAAACTCTATTTTGAAATGTTTCTTCCAGACGTGATGACGTAAGTCTCTTCTGGTATGAAACTTTGTTTTAAGAATAGTTCACATGGAACTGGGTATTAGGTACTTCGAAACGTGGTGGCGTAAGTCTGTTCTGGTAAGGAACCCTGTTTTGAAAAGGAAATATGGGTGGCATATCAAGGAGAGGTGTACCTATGGATATAAGGACGGCAATTGCAGGTGTGGGTAATACTATAACTGTTGTTATGTCACAAACATATACAATAATTCTAAGTCAGCATTCTTTGTGACTTGATGATTTAGAGGTATTGTTCTCTTTAGAAATAAGAACACTGATGTTATTGAGAAAGGGGAAATGATTTATAACCAAAGGCATTAATTGCCTATGATTTCCAAAATGTTTTTATCAAGTTTGAATGTGTGAGAATGATACAGAGGAGCTCTGGTTGGTCGAAAAGGACCAGAGGACCTCTGGTCATGTGGAAGACAAGTGTTTCAGGATTTTATGAATATATCTTAAAAATAATTTTGTATCAATATATCTGAGTTATTTATCAGAGCTCTGTCTTTTAAAATTAAATATTTTCTTCAAATTTCTTTATAAATGAAACAAAGAACTAGAGGAGCTCTGTCTCTAGCTTATTTATCTTTAAAATTAAGGTAGGTCCTTTTTGGACCACATACTATGTTGGTCTAGAGGGTCTCTGGTTGAGTGTCAATTTGTTTGAGTGCAGAGGCTCTGGTCAATAGAACCAGAGGCTCTGGTAATTAAGGGCAGAGGAGCTCTGGCCCATTGAGCCAGAAGAGTTTAGGGAAATTCTGTAAAGGGATACAGAGTTACAAGATGTTACATTTGTGCTATGTGTTGTAGCAATTTGTTGGTTTTATATTTTTGGCTAACAATCAGATTTGTATGTTTTTGCTAAAAATATAATTATCTTATTATAAAAGAGGTTTTATTAGGTTTTGGTGATCTTCACTCTGCATTTACAAATAAGGGATTTCCTCACTAGACCTTCCGATCTAACCCTTATTTTGTATTTTGAAAATATGCATTATAGGAACTGCGGGGTCTGGGGATATTAAATGGAAGAGGAAAATATAATTTGTTCTTTATGTGTTATCTACCTTTTGAAGATCGGCATGTTGCCAATATATTTCGAAGATACATGTTGCTATACATGGGATGGTGCACGGATATTCTTTTGGAATTTTTCATAAGTAAATTATGTACATATAGAATCCTTATACTAGTGGAACCTATGTGGTGTAATCTATATTTCTTTTATATGAAATATATGTTATATGCATATGGGGTGTTACAAATGGAGTGGTTTGCCATGTTGGTTCGGGGTGTTGCAATTAGGGTGTATTAGAGAACCTAGGAGTAGAGCATCGAGTGACTGGGTTGGATCGAGAATTTTAGGTCGTTTACAAATGAAAAAGATAAATGGGCTTGGTTTCTAGAGAACTCATGGGTGTTTTCAGTTCGTGGTCTTAAAAGGCTGATCGATTCAATTTCTCTGTCTTCTTCGGATGAAAATCAAGCTTGCGAAACTAAGTAAAACTCGTTAATTCCAAGAAATATCTGGATTTTTATGTGGCGTCTTAGGCAAGAAGACTCCCAGTTCAATCGGTTATTGACAACTTTGGGATCGACTTTCACTCTGTGTGTGCCTGTAGTGTGCTGATAGAACTGAGACCATCAACCATTGTTTTTTCATTGTAAGGAGGTCATACACATATGAGATAAGATTTGTTAGTGGTGGTGTCTTCAGTTCAACAATGTAGATCCTCTCTCTGATCTTTTTTACTTTTAAAGATTCAAGTTCAATCTATAGTGCAAAAGTTCATATGTGGCATGCCTTTTGTGGACAGGTTTATATATGGTGTGGAAGTTTCGAAATAAAGTTGTTTTTTTCTAGTATTCATGCACGCATACGGATCTTGAGTTCGAAACTCAGTTTTTGTCATGTACTTAGGTCTCCAACACGTGCAAGAATTTTAAGATCATGTAGTCGGAGTGGTGCAACAATCTCAGTAATCGCAATTAGCTTTTGCTCGATTAAGGTAGCGCATTCGTGTTCTTTCGTTAATGTTTATGTTGGACCTACAAGGGTGAATCCTTTAGATGTTTTTTTTTTTTTTTTTTTTTTTTTTTTGTTTAAGCCTTGTTTTTCTTTGGTTTTATGGGCTTGTTTGTTTTTGTTTCTTGCTTAATCTTCTGCCTTTGAAGTTTGAACATTCTTGTTTGTTTTGTTCTTTTTTTCTAATTGTTGTTTTTCAAAAAAAAATATGAGTAATTTACATTTTTTTTCATTTGGTTTGCTAAAAATTCTCATTTTTGCCCTTATGATTTAGAAATTACAATTTTTGTCTCTATAATTTACAATTTATTGTTGTTCTGATCCCCGTGGTTTACAATTTTTTACTGTTTTGGTCCCGTGTACTTAAATTATGAATTAATTCAGACAGAAAGTACCAATAGTTTGTAAATCATAGCAACGAAAATCACATTTTTTAAACCATTTGGACGAACATCGAAATCATTAACAAACCACAAATACGAAAATTGAAATTTACTCTTTAACTAGTTGTGTGCCCGTGCAATGTGGCGGGATGCAAATTGAAGAGGAAAATTTACAACTTAGTAGCTTATCAAATTTAAAATAAAATGCAGTTCCATCAACTAAATTGATTGTTTAAGCTAGTTCAGTAGGGGCTTTGTCTGCATATCCAACCACGTATTGTTCGATGGAACCACCTCCTCTAACAAAAACTTTCTTTCACACTGAATCCCTTGGCAACCACTTGGACAAGATCATTTGACAGGAATAAAAGTATTCCTATCACCCCCTCATTGGCCACATTTGAATCACAACTTCCCTTCTTGATCATCCTTGCTCGTTTTAACACAAAAACTACATCAACAAAAATTGCAATACAAAGTCAAACAAAGATACTCGATATAATTCACTGGTTTAAAATTCTATATTCATTTTGGTTCTTTGAACATTGCATATCTTTCATCTACTCCTTTTATGTTAATCCTTCCATTAGAAAATTAGGTACTCCTATCTTTTAAGTCATGCCATAAAATGGTGGCAACATTAAATTGTACATAGAATCAATTTTCAAATTTCATCTGATTTTTAACGCATTGATAAGTTGTACCTGGTGCTCTTTAAGGCATATAAGAAGTAGTATCTATTTAGGACATCTATTTACGACTTTTATGAAATCTGCTTGATAAGGTAGTATAACCACCCGATCTTTTAGTTAACTTACAAAGTTAGTCTTATTTCACTACAAAAAGATATGAAATTAATCGCTAAAAAAACAAAAAATACCACTAACATCTACAATAGATAGAGTCTTATATGTAAAATACCACTAAAAATACTTATATGTCGTTTTGTTGGACTAAAATCTCACCCGGTAAGTAAAGGATAGTGTTAAATTTTACAGGTAAGCGCTTACCGAGTAAATGTTTGGTAAATGGCCCCTTAATAGCAATATATATGCATGGATGGTAACTTAAGAATCCATACTTGGTAGAATCTGAACTGAATTTAGCATGAGGCTGAAGTTCATCCCAATGATTAATCATGTATTGGCTTAAGTAATTGCTTGGCAATATGATAATAGAAGTTGCTTCTTCAGCTCCATATATTGTATCCCTGTTTTATTTAAATTTTTATCATCTTTGAGCTGCACAAGAAAACCATGATTTTAATAGCATTAAACATGAAAACCAAATTAATGCGCCAAAGATGGATAAGAGAGAAACTGAAAATTATCAAGGAGGAAGCATTTATCACATATTAAATGTGCTAATATGTGATTTTGTAGTTTAATGTTGAGAAAACACAACACAAAATGTTCGATATTCAAGCAAGCTTTTATTTTTTTGTGACAAGTTCTATGGCTTTATGTAGGACTACTCTTGGGTGATTGATAGAAGCTTTTTTGTTTGATTTGGTGAAGAGCATTATTGCTATCAACTATAAAAATGATACTAAGGAAGAAAGTATCATATGTCCCCGCTGTTGGTGTTTTTAGTGTCATCAATCATTTTGGTGTAATTATGATTTACACAAGATCGATGGGGTTTTTAGTTGAGCTATAATGTGGATTAGGAGGAACAGAACACGCTCGTATAAGCTAACTCTTAAGCCTGAGATCGCCATAAAGCAGGGGTCAATAGGGTCGTGCCCCCTTGCAAGGTCAAGGGGGAGAGCCCCTTGCGATTGTCCCGCCGACCGTTCAGCAGGCGGGGTTAGTCATTAAGTATTGTATCATCTAGTTAGGGCACTTTGATCTTTTCATTAGCTTTCTTGTTCCCTCAATTTAGACTATGGTTTAGTTATTGATATAGTTATAATCCCTGGTGCTTTACAATTATTTGTGAAGATTGAATAGTTCTCTCTAGTTATCTATTCTGATTGTTCCAAATCAACTCGTTGCTCAAGGGGTCCTAAGCTCTTGTGGTTACTGGTTGCCTAGTCAAAGTTAGTCGTTTCCAGTCCATTCTGATTCTATCTTGCCATAATCTCATCCTACACCACCTTCCCCCTTCTACCAGGCCAAAAAAGAGAGAGAAAGAATACACTTGGTCAAAGAACAACATACCTTGCTTAAAATTGGATCAACTTTGGTCTCAAGTTGTTCCACCGCTTCATTTAGCTCTGACAACAAACCAACTAATTATGGAGCAGAACTGTGGAGCAAATATTTGTTCAAAAACTGTTAAGATTTCATAAAAATACAAAGCAGAAGTGAAGTTCCTGTAGACCATGAAAAACAACAGGTTAATGTCCGTCTATAGCAATATTCTACAATGACATAAGGCACAGGCATTACTATCGTCCATATTGACCCTCCCAATAGCCACCATAAATAATCTAAATTGAGAAAAATTAAGGACGCAGTAACCTAAGGACCATACTTAAGTAGAAGAAATCCACTTTGGAAGTGCATCGACTTAAATATATAATCCTATATTCATATTGTCTATGTCATATGCCTATCCAATTTCCATTACATTGCTAAACCAGGGGCCAAAAGTTTCTACATACCAAACACTTAGGTTCTCAAATGGAACAGGTGATTGCTTGTAATCATTGTTGATCTAACAGTAACACAATAAGTTGAGGACTATTTATTTAACTTAATTTCTTGAAGGGTGTATGTTTTTACTAATGCAAATGTTTCTACAACATTATAGAGAAATTTTAAAATCAATAATGATATGTGCAAACGATGAGATATGATCTAGTGGCCATTATAACTTTCATCGGTCCGAGAGTTGCAGTCATCATTCTCTTCTCAAACAGCATACGGAAAAATAAATACAAGTGAAAAGAGAGGACAGTTGGTGCAACATCCTGATAATTAGATGGACATCTTTTGCAAATAACTATTCAGCTAGGTGTACAAGAAGGATTACTTCAGCTCCTCTTAAGAAAGCAAAATTTATACAAGTACAATACTTAACTTAGAGCAGGAAAAAAAATGATTCAATAGTACTATCTGCTAAATGCAAATAGAGAAAACCCACGAATATTGATCCAATCAAAAGAACTCACTTGTATACAATGTCCATTTGTTCTTCTTTTGACAAAGAATTTGGATCCTTCATGACTACCTCATATCCAGTGTCAGTTTCATCTTGGGCACCATGGCCCACAGTATCTTTTGATGTAACTTTTCCTTTTCTCAGATTCTCCTGAAATAACCATTGGACTGTAAGCAATGACTCCAAGGTAAATCCGTTACCAACTAAAGCACTCAAAAAAACATGACCAATAGAGAGAAATCATCTAGTAAATGTCATAACAGATTCTGAAACTAACCTCAAACGTTGGTTCTCCTTCACTCTCATCTTCCTCGTCATCTTCAAGACCATGGTCTGCATTTGAATATAACCTTGTTTTTTTTTCATTTTGCAGCCTCAAAACCTCTGCCTCTTCCTCGTCTTCCTCATCTACTTCAAATTACGCTACCCATTCGCATTAATCATGTTTCTAACAACCTTTTATAACAGATCAGAAGCATTTATCTTACCTTGACCGAAGTAAGGTGTGTGGTGCTAACATATAGCAATAAGCAGTTATTTTTATTTGGTATGTGCATAGACAGCTCAATAAAAAACAAGGTCCATGAAATTCAATATAGTGTTTACCTTATCATTATACAAGGAATGAGTTGAATGGATATTTAGGTTTAACGACGTAAGAAATGAGTTGAATAGGTACATTAAGCATTATACAAACAATCGATTATCAAAAACTCAGGGCAGAGAAATAGAAAAATCAAGAAGAAAATGATCATCGAAACCCAAGCAGAGATGAAGGAAATCAAACCTGAAAAGCGATGCTGGAGAGATGATCAGAATAAAGAAGAACATCAAAATTGATTGTTTGAAATCGATAAAACCTTTACCTCGGTTAAGGTCTTGAAATATTGCAAGTTGATACATTCTCTAAACCAAACCAAACCCAATAGGGAAAAGTCCAATAAAACCCTATGAACTTTAGTGTTTTGATTGATTAAGTCCTTGAACTATTTTTTGGAACAAATAAATCATTGGACTTTTGAAAACTTGTTAAATAAATCCTTAAACTTTCTTAAACCTGTTAAATATGTCCTCATTCTTTAAAAATATAACTTGTAACCTGGGTAACAGGTAAACCAAACAACTTAAA